CTCTGGCAACTTAATCTTAAGGTAAAAATATAAAAGCAAAAATCTATGCATAACTCTGTAAGAATCGGCTTGAGTCTTACTTACTAAAGTAACTTCATAAAACGAAATACACCTCTTTACGGCACACTTAAATAACCTTTTTAGCTACTTTAAAACCCAGAGCGAAAATTTATAGACCATCCATTTTCCATTTACTTTCGCGGGGCATCATAATGCTCTCGCCCATACCGGCTAAGCGATAAACCCTCTTGGCTTCTTCCTTGGCAGCTATATTAATATGTACACAATAATTATTCCCCGGATGGATTACAATGTGAACTTGGCCAGGAGCAGCAGCTGGAAACGCAAAGCAAACGGAACACGGAAAAAATTGTTGAACTGTGTGGCGTAATGTTGTTGAACTCCCCGAGAGAGGTTGGCAGTGGTGGAGGTCGGAGGTCGGAGGTCGACCCGTCCAAAAGGGGCAGTCAAGCGCAGCGAAATGGACACGAAACAATGCCTGGCCATCAGATGACCCACTGGCTTGGAGGTGAACCACAAATGCCGCCGCGGTGGTTTTCTGGGCTACTTAGACGCGAGTGCTTTACCTTGAGCGGAAAATTCATTCATTTTCTGTTTGCTTATGGGAACTGGGCGCCCCCATTCCATACACACGCACTTAATTAAGGGAAAACTATTTATTCCTTTTTTTTTGTGTGCGCATTTCCTGAACTCTCCTTTTACACCCCACACTTTTTCAATTTCCTGTCAGTGACGCTCAAAAATACTAGAGTCCACTTTTGATATCCTTTCGGGATAAAGATAAGACTATTTTAAGTGTGAAAGAAAAAAAAAAAAACTGTTAGGAGAAAGGACATGTGGAAAAATATGGCTTAAATAAAAGGTAATGAAGTGAAAAAATACTAAAAAATATACAGGACTTTCAGTACTAGAAAGGTAAAGATTTAATTGGTGCTTCAAAGTACTCACATCTTTCAAAAGAGAAAATAACTATAAATTAATGTATGATTTATTAAAACAATATAAATGATTGTTATTGAGAAACTTTATAGCATACAGAAATTTATAGTTTAAGAAATATTTTATAAAATTTATTTAGGGTACTCAAACTTCGAAATTAAACCTAGCATCTTTGGCATTTGCTTTTTCTGCTGCAGATATTTTCTTAGTGCTAACCGGAAATTGTGCTTATGCAATTGCACAAGTTCTCCTCATCCAAATCCGGACGAGGTCAGTACGTTGAGAAGGTCGGAGTAAGAAAAAAATGTCAAAAAGTTTCCGAAGAGGAAGGGATACACCCTCCCTTCCAACCCCAAAAGAAAAACAGGGACTTCAACTCTACTCTGGACCTGAGCTCTAGACAATGCAGTGTAATTTGCTGAAATGTTAAGCAAAATGTAATAACTGAAAGTTGATAAAGTCGATGGTACATGTCAAAAAATAGAAGAAATGTTTATTTATTAGAATTATAATATTTATATATATAATATGTATATGAATTACAAATTATTATTCAAGGAAAATATGTTTTATTCTATCAACCATTGGGACACTACGGAAGTTTTAAAAAATATTTAAATTTAAATTAAAACCAAGATTTGTCACTGTGTTATTGAAATTATATTTCAATTAATTATGACCTTAATATTTTCAGTAAGGAGAATGACAAAAATTATACTTGTTTAAGTTTTAAGTTTTTCCTTAGTGTATCCATACGTTAATTTTTTACCTCTTTCTCTACTTTCCCGATCTTTTTTCATGTGTTTATTTTTTTTGTGCTGCTGTTGGTTTCTTTCAACAGCAATAAAAGTCGATTGTCAACGTTGACTTGCATTCTTTGAGCAAAAGAGTGGTGTGTGTGTGTGCATGTATCTAGAAAATTTCCAACCTTGCAACCTCCCAAGATACAACTTTGGTCCTGGCGAGTGATTTTCAGGTATGCAAGTCCTGGATAGCCGAGGATTCTCTTTGCAAAAGTCCAGGTCTGCCCGTCACTTAACATTTTTTTTCCAATGATGTCCTCGAGCCATAGGGGAGACGAATAGTTGAAGTCCCTTACACAGACTGTGTTGCGGAAACTATGCAGAAATCAAAATGCTTCATAAAACGGAAATGAAAACAAATGAAAAATGATTTTTACTTATAGGCAAATTGTTCCTTAGCCCATTCAATCCTGAGTCCTGGCCGGAGCCGGAGCTATCTTTGGTGTTTTTTGCAGTTCCTACATGTGCACCAAGTGCTTGTTGCAAATAAATTGCATTTGCACTTTAAGTACGGTCAATGTGGCAGCTGTTGCTCCAGATTCTGGCCCCCTTTACGCCTTTTTATCCTTGCCACTCCGGCAACATGTATGTGCTGTTTTGTAGGTGTGAAGGAATACAGGACAAGGTAAGCCTGATTAATGTTCTTCAGGCTTTTGGCTCTGACGAGACGAGTAAAGGCCAAGAGCATTTAGTCTTAAAGCCAGGCTACTCCCAAGCTTAATCTAAGCATTATTGTGTTATTTTTTGTATCTTAGTGTGACAGATTAAATACTAATTTATTGCATTCCGAGATCGGAAAATTACACTTTTATGATAGAAGGTTGCTATAGACTTTTCAGCCAGTGAAAATATAAATGGCTTAGGAGATAAATGCCTTTTTCTGGCATATTTATTGTCAAACAACGAGATTGGAGTCTATAAATGACTAGAGTAGAAATCTGACAAACTATTTAAGTGATAATGTAGGTAAATAAATAGTTAGAATAAATATACATATAAACACTATCTCAAAAGGAAGGTCGAAAAGACCATATAATCAAAGGAGTTCAAAAAAGTAATTAAACGAAATAAAGACTTTTAGTATAAAAGAAATATCTCTTTTATAATTTGCTTAGTAAACATTAAAAGAAGAACATTTAAAAGTCTTATTAGAAGAGCCGTGACATATTGTTGAATTAGGTATGCTCTACTGCTCATCCTAATTCTCGAGTGCTTAATGTTGGCTTGTTGTTTGCCTTACACTTGGCCATTAGGAAAGACCCCCCCCAAACCGGGGGTTATCCTTTGAAAAGTGAACAGCCTGTTGACCTTTTCTTAACCCCGGATCAGTTGTTGACTTGCGAAGAACTTGAGCCGACCCCTTACAGCCTTACAGAATGTTGATGAACCAATTCAAAGGGTAGCAGCAGCTCAGACCCAGAAACCACAAGATATCCCTCAGTTGAACACTTGTAGAGCTCTCGCCTTACACATGCCTTTTATTAAAAAATTAAAATTGCTAACCAAAGAAAGAGGAAAAGGTATCGCTTCTTTTTTTGTAGCTAAAATAATCAGGCAACTTCATTGAATCAAGTTGCAAGGCGATCTGGGTTGGGAGGCAGACCAAAGAAAAGCCTCATAATAAACGACAAAAGAAAAGGCCGCAGAAAACCCACAACAAAAAAAAACTAAGAGGAAAAGGAAAAGTGGGGTTGAAGAAAGGAGTAAACAAGGTCTAAGGAGTGAAAATGTGCGCAAGAAAGCAAATAAATTGAAGTGAAAACAAATAGCCTGGGTTGTGGCGGAAAAGGGGTCTTCGGAAGGGACTGAACCGGACTGGACCGGACCGGACTGGCGGACATTCCATCAGAAGCCCACAATAACAACTTCACCTTATTTATAAATTAACAGTAACAATTTTTCCCGCCGGACATACACTTAAAAATTTTCGTGCATAAAAGTTTAATATTTTGCCCACTCAGTTTCCTTTTTTCCTTTATTTTCCTGCTGTTTTCATTCTGCTTATTTCCATTCTTGTTGTTCTTTGTCTGGCTGTGTGTGTGTGTGTGTGTGCTTTGTTCCGGGGAAAAAAGGAAGCTCCGGACAAGGTCCTTTGCCGTCGCTTAAGCAAATAATTTCTTTTCTTAGGCAGCGCTTTGGCTTTTATGCTTCGCCGAGTTCCTGCTCCCAGTCCTCCACCAACTCTCCTCCTTTTTTCCACTACCAACTCCCAGCTGGCCAGCTGCACTTGGTCCTCGCTGGAGTCTCCTCTTCCGTCCCTGAGTCCTTTTGCCCCCTCCACGTCCTTTAGCGCTGCTCCCTGTTGTGCGTTTTGTTTTTAGTTGCCTCCGCCGCTTGTTTGGCCTGCACTTCTCACGCACATTCTTTGGGGAATTTGCCTAGCACTCAGTCCGGTGGACTCCGGTGGTCTCCGTTTCACGGGAAGATCTTTAAGTGATTGTTGGGCGTTTGCCAACTTAAAGTCGTTTCCATAAATCGAGGGACAAATATTGGAACAGAAATCAAAACTCTTAAGCACCTCAAGTTGTTATCATTATCTTAAAAACTGAGGTGGCCTCTAACCTTACCCAAAAAAGTACCTACTAGCTAAAGAGTACTCAGGTTCGTTTATAATTGTTTAAATTTCAAATAAACACAAAATTCAGATAGGTCATGATATGTGATGGTTAAAATTTCTTCGAATCTTTCAATCCTCAATATTAAATACAATATTAATTTAAAGAAACGTATATTGTTGTTCTGTTTTTAATATTCTACTCTTAACTCTTTAAATAATGCAAAATAGATGTTTGAAAGGTTTTATATATTCAATAATTCGATGGTCCGTACCGGTCCGTGTCACTACTAATACTGGAACAAAACAACACGAAGAAATTCAAATCTTTGCCAAACACTGGTTCCAACGCGTACCAGGAGCGTAAATTTGTAACATATTTGATCACTTTTCAAACAAACAACTCATATATCATCACATAATTCAAATCTCGAACAGAATCTATAAAGATTGAATCAATTGTGGAAATATACCACAACTAAACAAACCCTAGAAAATACTTAATAACCCTCTTTCGATTCTGCTGACTGCTCTTTTCTAAGGGTATCAGCTGTGAACAGATAATAGTTTATTCTCATAATAAGCATGATTTGACGATTTTTCGTTCCCTTACGCTATCACAAAAGCTCGTCACATAAATAGAGAACCCACAGCGATCTGCTCAGTTAGTCGTTGCTAGAGACTCGTCGAGTAACAATGAAGCTGTTGGCTGTGATCGCGTTGGTGTGTTGCGCTTTGAGCGCCAAACCTCTAGAGACGGAGAGTGCCAAGATCTTGGCCACTTTTCCGTTTCCGGGTCGCTCTCAGTACATCTTTCTGGAGACTTACTTGAAGGCCTTGGCCGACAAGGGCCACCAGGTGACAGTGATCAATGCATTCAAGAACAAGGCATATCCGAACATGAGGTTTATCGAGGCTATGAAGGGTCACGAATTCTCGGACAGTAAGTTAGATATATCATTTAAAGAAATTAGTGATTTTGTTACAATTTTCTAAACTTTAGCAATGTTGGCCCTGCTTAATGAACCCTTCCTTTGGCAACAACTCAATGCAATAAGCTATATTGTGTCTAAATATACGGAAATAACACTGGAAGATGAGGGGGTCAAGCAGCTGTTGAACTCTGGAGAAACCTTTGATTTGGTGCTGGCTGAGATGTTTCAAATGGAACCATTGTATGCATTTGCCCAGCATTTCAATGCCACCCTTGCTGGATTCTCCAGCTTCGGAACTGACAACCACGTCGATGGGGTCATGGGAAACATATCTCCGATGTCCTATAACGCAATAGCTAGCTCTCCCCGTACCAATCTAATGACCTTCATTGAACGCTTGAGCAATGTGTACGAAACAGTGGTTGAGAAAGTTCATCGGAATTGGGTGCACCTGCCAGCCATGGAAAAGATGTTCAATAAGTACTATCCGAACGCGAAGAAAACCATGACTGAAGTCTTGGATAGCTTTTCGTTCATGCTGTTGGGTCAGCACTTTTCTCTGAGCCATCCGCGTCCCTATTTGCCCAACATGATCGAGGTCGGAGGAGTGCACATCTTCCACAAACCGAAGCCGCTGCCCGAGGACATAAAGCAGTTCATTGAGGGTTCCCCCGATGGGGTCATCTACTTCTCAATGGGATCCAATGTAAAGAGCAAAGATCTTCCCCAGAAAACTCGGGACACTTTGCTGAAAACCTTTGCAAAATTGAAGCAGCGCATTCTGTGGAAATTCGAAGATGACGAGATGCCGGGAAAACCTCCGAATGTATTGATCAAGAAATGGTTTCCTCAGCCGGACATTCTTGCTCATCCTAATGTAAAGATGTTCATTACCCATGGAGGGCTGCTGAGCTCCACAGAGAGTGTGTACTTTGGCAAACCCGTGCTGGGATTGCCATGCTTCTATGATCAGTACATGAACGTGAAGCGCGCCCAACGAAAGGGATTTGGATTGGGACTGGATTTGAATAACCTAAAGCAGGAGGATTTGGAAAAGGCAATCCAAACATTGCTCACAGATCCCAGCTACGCCCAAGCAGCGGCTACCATTTCGGAGCTATATAGGGATCAGCCACAGACAGCTCTGGATCGTGCCATTTGGTGGACGGAGTATGTTCTCCGACACAAGGGTGCTCCTCATTTGAGGGCAACATCCCGAGACCTCACCTTCATCCAACTCTATAGCTTGGACACCTTGGCTGTGCTTTTCGGTGTGCCTTTGCTGGTGGTACTCGTCCTCCTAAAGTTATCTTGTAAATTTCTACGAGGCAAGAGCCAGAAGTGCCCTCATGCTGATAAGCTCAAGAAGCAATAGAGTCTCTGTATGTATGTACATGATTGTAGTTTAAAATTTAGCCTGGTTTACAAACTAGTCGAGTGTCTGTCATTACTCTTATCGTTTACGAGTGCTGAAATTATATATTTTATTGTCAGTTGTTTGATTATTTGTGACGTAATTGGAACAAACAGCTGGGGAACACCGGCTCCCGCTAAACATTTTTCTTGCGATTAGCTATCAAAATTGGGTTGATTGTATTTACCTTTTCTTTCGATAACGGACTGTTGCTCTGCCGAAAACTTATTTTTTTTTTAATGGAGTGAAGCCTCAGATTATTCAGCAGTTGACTGCCTAACCTCTTTGGCTGGTTGTTACGATTTGTTGGTTTATATTATTTTGTTACATGCTTATGGGATTTTTATACACTTGCTAGGTTTTATAATTTAAGTCTGAAATTTGCAAAGCAGTAAAGGAGATATTTGCAATCTTAAAAAGTATTCTGGTTCAGCTTGAACAGCTGAAACAAATAAGATTAACTTTTAACTAGAAAGTGCTATTTTATCATATAAAGCAAAACTGATGAAGCACCTATAAAGATACAAGCAATGATATACCAATTAAACAAAAGCTACAGCCTGGACTACCCTAACTTGGGCAAACCTTTTCCAGTTATAATCTAGGCGCTCCATTAGTGGCGACACTTTCCATTTGTAATCATGAATTGCCGATTCTTTAGCGCCTTTTAAATTTGCTTGCACTATCACCAAAAGCTCGTCACTTAAGTGTATAGGAAACACACAGCGATCTGCTCAGTTAGTCGTTGCTAGAGACTCGTCGAGTAACAATGAAGCTGTTGGCTGTGATCGCTTTGGTCTTTTCCGTTTTGAGCGCCAAACCTCTAGAGACGGAGAGTGCCAAGATCTTGGCCACTTTTCCATTTCCGGGTCGCTCTCAGTACATTTATATGGAGACTTACTTGAAGGCCTTAGCCGACAAGGGCCACCAAGTGACAGTGATCAATGCATTTAAGAACAAGGCATATCCGAACATGAGGTTCATAGAAGCTATGAAGGTTCACGAATACAATGACGGTGAGTTATATATTTGACTTGAAATAACGTTATATAAACATCGGCAATCCTTAGTTAGCTTCCTTTCTGATTTTTTTATAATTTTCTAAACTTTAGCAATGCTGGCCCTGTTTAATGAACCCTTCCTTTGGCAACAACTAAATGCAATCAATTATATTGTCTCCAATTTTACTGAAACATTACTGCAAGACGAGGGTGTCAAGCAGCTGTTGAACTCTGGAGAAACCTTTGATCTGGTGCTGGCTGAAATGATTCAAGTGGAACCATTATATGCACTTGCCCAGCATTTCAATGCCACCCTTGCTGGATTCTCCAGCGGTGGAACAGATTGGCGCATTGATCAGGTTATCGGTAATATATCTCCCATGTCGTACAACCCACTACTCACTTCTCCACGCACCAATCGGATGACTTTTACGGAACGATTGTCAAATGTCTACGAACACATGATGGAGGGATTTCATCGTCATTGGGTGCATCTGCCAAATATGGAGAAAGTGTTCAAAAAGCATTTTCCGAACTCGAAGAAAACCATGGCAGAAGTAATGGACAGCTTTTCGTTCGTGCTGTTGGGTCAGCACTTCTCCCTGAGCCATCCGCGACCCTATTTGCCCAACATGATCGAGGTCGGAGGACTGCACATCTCTCATAAGCCGAAGCCCCTTCCCGAGGACATAAAGCAGTTCATTGAAGGCTCACCCGATGGGGTCATATACTTCTCAATGGGATCCAATATTAAAAGCAAAGATCTTCCCCAGGAAATTCGAGACACTCTTCTGAAAACCTTTGCCAAACTAAAGCAGCGAGTGATGTGGAAGTTCGAGGATGATGAAATGCCGGGAAAGCCTCCGAATGTGTTGATCAAGAAGTGGTTTCCCCAAACAGATATCCTCGCTCATCCTAATGTGAAAATGTTCATTACCCATGGAGGGCTGCTGAGCACCACGGAAAGTGTGTATTTTGGGAAGCCCATTTTGGGATTGCCGTGCATTGTTGACCAGCATATGAACTTGAATCGGGCCCAAAGAATGGGATTTGGATTGGGACTGGATCTCAATAACCTAAATGAGGAGGATTTGGAAAAAGCAATCAAAAGATTGCTCACAGATCCAAGCTACGCCCAAGCAGCGACTACCATTTCGGAGCTATATCGGGATCAACCGGAACCAGCTCTGGATCGCGCCATTTGGTGGACGGAGTATGTTCTCCGACACAAGGGTGCTCCTCATTTGAGGGCAACATCCCGAGACCTTAACTTCATTCAACTCCACAGTTTGGACACCTTGGCTGTCCTTTTCGCTGTGCCTCTGCTGGTTGTACTCGTCCTTCTGAAGTTATCTTGTAAATTATTGCGCGGAAAGAGCCAGAAGTGTCCTCATGCTGATAAGCTCAAAAAACAGTAGAGTTATTGTATAAATTTACATGTCTTTAGTTAAAAATTTAGTCAAATAGTTCATATACTAGTCAAGTGTCTGCCATTAATCTTATCGTATACGAATTCTAAAAAAATATATTTTATATATGGGGAACACGCTCCCGCTGGATCTTTAAATTTTGATTAGCTATCAAAAGCGTGTTTATTGCATTTAGCTTATCTATCGATAACTCACTGTTGCCAAAAATGTTTTTAGTTTAAGAGTTGAACCTCAGATTGTTCATTAGTTCCTTTTTGCTGGTTTTTACAATTTGTTATACCCTTGCAGGGTATTATAATTTCAGTCAGAAGTTTGCAACGCAGTGAAGGAGGCACCTCCGACCATATAAAGTATATATATTCTTGATCGAGATCAACAGCCGAGTCGATCTAGCTATGTCCGTTTGTCCTTCTGTCCGTCTGTCCGTCTGTCCGTCTGTCCTTCTGTCCGTCTGTCCGTTTCTACGCAAACTAGTCTCTCAGTTTTTAAGCTATCTGAATGAAACTTTGCAGTTAGTCTTCAAATATAATATGTAAAGGTGAATGAATTGAAAGCAGGTACCACTTCATTGTTTTTTAACACAAATAAATATAATTTATATTGTTGAGATTCCAAGTCATAGAAGTTCTATCTGCAAGGGTACATAAACTTCGGCGTGCCGAAGTTAGCTTCCTTTCTTGTTTTTTAATATTTTAAAAAACTTTTGGGATTTTGTAGAAGAAAAACACGGTTATAAAAGTACAGAACAAATTTGATTAAAGAATCAATCACGATTATTAAGTGTTTGTAAATCGCACGTAAAGGTGTGCTAAACTGGGTTTTTGTAAAGGTTCACATAGTATTAGTATAATAGGAATAAATATATTGTTTGCTTTACTGCATTTTTGAATTATTTTGCTGGACCTCGAATTTAGATAAATCTGATTCAGGCTTATAACTACTTCTTGGACGTTGATGCACTAAGGTCAGTACATTCAAGTGGACCGTATGACAGCAGGCACGTGCCTGTTTGGGTTAGGTGTTAGTAGGCGCGATGGAAAACATAGGACAGAATACGAGGAAATTGACTACCGGAGTGCTGCCAGATGGTTAGCTTGCATGCTTACTAAGTGTGTTAGTATTAAAGATTTTAATTTGGGAAGGGTATCTACGTTAGAGATTAGTGTGTACAAGGTTCATGCAGTTCAAAGGAGGTTCTACAGTGGCGCAACACTAGTGGGATATAGGATCTAGTAGTTCTACATGCTACATGGAAATTAAGCTGACTCAACAAGTCAGAACATTCCACATCACCATGGATAAGGTTAAAAATAAAGGTTATCCCTAGCATCGTTCTACGATTGGCTAAGGACGGCAAGTTTATTAATAGGAGTCTACTAGAGTAGGAAGGTAATCTTTGGTTTGCATCCCAATTTAAACCGCGTAAAGTGAAAAGTAAAACGTTCTTTTGAACCGACTCAATGCGTTTACTATGGACGCCGTTCTGAGGGCTCCAAACGCAGCATCCATATTCTAAAATAGGACGAACTAAAGAAGTATATAAGGATTTAGTAACATAGAGGTCATTGAATTTCTTCGACCACCGTTTAATAATTCCAAGCACACCCCTGGCTCTATTCACCATAGACGAAATATGATTAATAAAGACAAGTTTTGGGTCCAAGCGGACGCCCAAATCATCAACAAAATTATTTCTTTCCAAAGAGCAGCAGTTCAGCATGTAAGTAGCAAGCTTAGGAACGACACGAGAGAATGTCATTAGCTTGCATTTCGAGCCATTTAAGTTTAATAAGTTTACACGGCACCAAGTTTGAAAATTATTAAGATCTGTTTGTAAATCCGACTGGCAGGCAACGTCATTGTATGGCACGCAAAGCTTGACGTCCTTATTAAAATGCAAAATAAATAAGTTTACTGCATCCCATAATAGAAAGATTGAGCACGCTTGAAAACATAAAATATATAAAATATATAACAGACTAAAGGTGGAAGGAAATTAAGTATATTATATATTATTAAGTATATTCGATCGAAATACCGTTAATTTCACAGGCACTTATTTCTGTTGCAAAAATTAAAATTTAATAAAAAATCTGTGTTTGAATTAATAAAAGCTAAACAAACCAAAGTATGTTAATATAAGAAATAATAATCATGGATTTCCTATAAAGATGTTTTTAATAATCAAGTACTTATGAAACATTTACTCATTCTATTTTGAAATGTTTTCATTAATTTGACTTTAAGAGAAATAAAAAGCCCATAATTTTTTATTCTGTTGCTTAATTTTTATCCCCTTTCAGGGTATTATAATTTTAGTTAGAAGTTTGCAACGCCGTCCGTCGGTCGTTCCGTTTCTATTCGTCTTACAGTTTTGGAGTTATCGGAATGAAACTCTCTTAAATACTCTCACTTGTATATACTTTGTATATACATATGTCAGAACGGGCCGGATCGGACGACTATATCATATAGCTGCAATAGGAATGATCGGAAAATTGCTACATAATAACTATAACATTTTCCGTTTCAACTGAATTTAATCAAATTTAAGATATAGCCATTTTATATTATTTTAAAATTTTATGTAGAATTTTTTGAAATCGGACTATCGTACTACTATTAATACAATTAAAAATTATAACTTTTTAGTTTTCAACAGATTTTTATCAAATTTAAGATACAGTCATTTTATTATATTTTACAATTTTGTGTAAAATTTTATGAAAATCAGACGACTTTATCATAAAGGTACCATAAAAACGATCGTTTGATATAGAGAAAAAATGCAAAACTGTGAATGTATATGTATATTATGAATATTTGAATGAAATGAAAGCAGGCATTACTGCATTGTTTTTTAACATATATATATATATATATATATATACATATACAATATAAATTTTATATATATATATATATATATATATTATATTGTATATACATATACAATATAAATTTTATATATATATATATATATATATAAAATTATTATTATAATTATTATTATAACATTTATATTGTATATGTATATGCCGGAACGGAAGACTATATCATAAAACTGCTATAGGAAGGATCGGAAAATTGAAAGAAAACTAATTTAAACTCTTCCAGTTTTCAAGAGATTTTCATCAACTTTCAGATCTAGTAATTTTATATTATTCTATATTTTCGTTATAAATTTTATATAAATCAGTCCAAGTCATATAGCTATTTTCTATATGTCTATTTTAGTTTTATTAAAATCGGACAACTACATCTTAAAGTTGTCATACATACAATCGTTAGATAAAGAAGAAAATGCAACTCTTTCAATGTAAAACTGTGACTGTAAAACTGTAAATATTAAAATTATAAAGTAAATGTAGTGACTGTAATGAATGTAGTGATCGAATTGCCATCTGCATGGGTATACAGACTTTAGCGTGCCAAAGTAGCTTCCTTTCTTGATCTTCCTGAAATTCTTCTCTTTTTGTCGACGCTGAAAATTCTTTTGATTTAGTTGATATTAAAACAACTCTTATGTTAATGTCAAGATCAGAAATACATTCCTAAGCCCAACGAGACAGTGACAGTGACAGTGACTCTTGCTGCATCTCAGTCACATCCTTAATATTCAAGAAAGACATACCGAGAGAAAAAGTTCAAATATATTCAAAAACGATACCTTCTTTACTTACAGGAGCGTATCATTAAATCTTATTTGCTAATATTGCAAACAATATGTGAAATAGATTGCTGACCCTACTAGGAAACTATATTTCATCATACAAAACAAACCTGAAGGAGAATCTATAAAGATACGTTCAACAATTGGCTGATATAGCAATTAAAAACAGCTAGAGCCTGGACTACCCTAACATGGCGAAACCTTTTTCAGTTCTTATCTAGGTGAGAAGGCAAAAGTTTATTCACTTTGTAATCATGAATAGTCGATTCTTTTTCGCCTTAAAAGCTTGTTTGCACTCTCAGCAAAAGCTCTTCACATTAGTATATAGACAACCAACAGCGATCTGCTCAGTTAGTCGTTGCTAGAGACTCGTCGAGTAACAATGAAGCTATTGGCTGTGATCGCTTTGGTGTTTTGCGCTTTGAGCGCCAAACCTCTAGAGACGGAGGGAGCCAAGATCTTGGCCACTTTTCCATTTCCGGGTCGCTCTCAGTACATCTTTCTGGAGACTTACTTGAAGGCCTTGGCCGACAAGGGCCACCAGGTGACAGTGATCAATGCGTTCAAGAACAAGGCATATCCGAACATGAGGTTCATAGAAGCTAGGAAGGTTCACGAATTCTCTGACGGTGAGTTCATCGTAGTGAAAAGCATTCAATTTAATAATTGTTAAATTAATGAAATCTATTACAAATAGAAATGTTATCCATGCTGAATGTACCCTTCCTTTGGCAACAACTTAATGCATTTGATTACTTTTTGGCGAAATTTATTAAGATAACAATAGAAGATGAGGGTGTCAAGAAGCTGCTGAACTCTGGAGAAACCTTTGATTTGGTGCTGGCTGAGATGACTCAAATGGAACCATTATATGCATTTGCCCAGCATTTTAATGCCACCCTTGCTGGATTCTCCAGCTATGGAACAGATAGTCGCGTTGACCAGGCTGTCGGCAACATATCTCCATTGTCGTACAATCCACAGATCACCTCCTCTCGCACCAATCGGATGACCTTCACGGAACGATTGTCCAATGTCTACGAATACCTGATAGAGGAATTACATCGACATTTGGTGCATCTGCCAAATATGGAGAAAATGTTCCAAAAACATTTCCCGAACTCGAAGAAAACCATGAGCGAAGTAATGGACAGCTTTTCGTTCGTGCTGTTGGGTCAACACTTTTCTCTGAGCCATCCGCGACCCTATTTGCCCAACATGATCGAGGTCGGAGGCCTGCACATCTCTCATAAGCCGAAGCCCCTTCCCGAGGACATAAAGCAGTTTATTGAGGGCTCCCCCGATGGGGTCATCTACTTCTCCATGGGATCCAATATAAAGAGCAAAGATCTTCCCCAGGAAACTCGGGACACTCTACTGAAAACCTTTGCAAAATTAAAGCAGCGAGTGATGTGGAAATTCGAAGATGATGAAATGCCGGGAAAGCCTCCGAATGTGCTCATCAAGAAGTGGTTTCCTCAGCCGGATATCCTCGCTCATTCTAATGTAAAAATGTTCATTACCCATGGAGGGCTGCTGAGCACCACAGAGAGTATGTATTTTGGCAAACCCGTTCTGGGATTGCCATGCTTCTATGATCAGCATATGAATGTGCATCGTGCCCAAAGAATTGGATTCGGATTGGGACTGGATTTGTATAACCTAAAGCAGGAGGATTTGGAAAAAGCAATCAAAACATTGCTCACAGATCCAAGCTACGCCCAAGCAGCGGCTACCATTTCGGAACTGTATAGGGATCAACCGGAACCAGCTCTGGATCGTGCCATTTGGTGGACGGAGTATGTTCTCCGGCACAAGGGTGCTCCTCATTTGAGGGCAACATCCCGAGACCTTAACTTCATCCAACTCCACAGCTTGGACACCTTGGCTGTGCTTTTCGGTGTGCCTCTGCTGGTTGCATTCGTCCTCCTGAAGTTATCTTGTAAATTACTACGAGGCAAGAGCCAGAAGTGCCCTCATGCTAAAAAGCTCAAGAAGCAATAGAGCCTTTGTCCATATATTTGTAAATATGTTTTTGTCGTTTTTAATTTCAAGTGCCTAGTGTCTAATAAATCTTATCATTTACGAATGTTGAAATTATATATTTTATAAATTGTAGGTCAGATATTTGTTTGTTTGTGGCGCATTTGAGAAAATAGCTGGGGAACACCGCTCGCTCTAGACATTAAAATGGAGACTGATTCATTTGATAACGCACAGTTGCTCTGCCGAATTCAGGTTCTTGTTTACAATGTGGATCCCATGAAATTTTGTTGCCTTATCACTTGTCTTAATAATACAAGATTATGGTATTTTTAATGAAGTCATTATAATTAGCTATGCAAAATAATCTATAATTCTATTATTATTATTATATTGCCTATTTTCTATCTATTAATATGAAAATTTATTGTTTAGGTAGAAAGTTGAATTACATATTCCATTAAATTTAATTATAATGTTAGCATTCTCCTGCTTCCATTTGTTGTTTGTTTGCCGCAGTATTAATTTAACTTTTTTTTATTATGTAAGGTGTGTATAGGTGTGCATACAAATTGAGATAGAGTCGTTTTCAGTTTGCTAAAGCAAAGCACATTGAAGCGGCTTCTATTATTGTGTCAAATCGACCCACACACACACACGTCGTATGCGCGATATTAATCAAATTGGTATTGAAAATTGTTTTTCCCTCTATATATGTATGTATTAACACCCTCTCTGTCGGCTTGATTAAATGAAAGGCATTTAGGCATATTTATTTTATTTTTTTGTTCAAAGTCATCGCTGTAACCGCCTCCAATGCCCTAGCCCAAAGCCACGCCCACTCCCAAGAACTTTGGGCAAAGTACACAAAAATTACCGAGTTAAAAATATCGCAGCAAAAAAAAAGCTTTATCTTAATTGCGGGTTACTTTTTTTTAACTGGGCTCCAAGCTACCTGTGCGGAATTGTGGGCCAAGTGGGCTGCAAAGGGACAGGAACTCCGGTGGAAAAAGTGAACCCAAATTTGTGTCCGTTGCTAGCACCAGGACACGCCCTAAATCACTGGCTTTTTATCAACTTCAACTTGAAACGAAATTCAAATGTTTCGCTCGTTTTTCTCCACCTGCGAATGCGACTGAGGCTGACTCGGCTCCGGCTGTTGCCCCTAACAACCAGAGTGGAGGGAGAGGTAGAAGAAGAAGGACCTGAAAAACAGGACTAAAAAAAACATATATAAACACTGAGGAAAATAATAACAATGTTATAAAATTTAAGAGAAAAAAACTTTAATTTTTATATTTCTTAATATTGATTGATTGATTAATATTATTATTTAGTTATACCTTGCACATATAATAATAAATAAACTTGATCAATATGCTCCAATTATTCGATCCTGCAATAATCGTCTCAACGAATTCATGAATCACAGAAACTAAGATTAAATTACTTGGTTTATAATGTTTATGTTTACATATTATAAATACATATGTAGGGTATCCTTGTAGGGTATTATAATTTTAGTCCGAAAATTGCAACGCAATGAAGGAGACATATTCTTGATCAGCATTAACAGTCGAGTCGATCTAGCCATTTCCGTTTTTCCTTTTCCGTTTCTACGCAAACTAGTTTCTCAGATTTTAAGCTATGTAAACTAAACTTTGTAGTTTATCTTCTATATATTCTCCCTACTGTATAAGTCGGGACGAGCCTGATCGGACGACTAAATCTTATAGCTGCCATAAGAATAAAAAGAAAATTTAAAACAAAATATATAATTACATAGCCATTTTGAATTATTATAGAATTTTTGTTTTAATTGCTATAAAAAAATATCGTTTAATAAAAAGGAAACTCATATTTCTTACATTGTGTTCATTAAAAATAATATTATTATGTTGGACGTATAATATATTAAATACAATAAAATAAAAAGAAAATTCATATGGTTTACACTCTATTAATTGTAAATTTTTCAATAGCAATTTGAAAAGATATACAAGCTTCAGCTAGCAGAATTTCTTTCTTGTTTTCGATAACCTTCTATATTTTTAACAATTTTAATTTTTTTTTTTTTTTGTTTTGTGTTAGAATATTTATTTCTAAGTGCATCAAACACACACGCAAGAATGAATCCTGTCCCTGGCCACTTTGCACTAAGTACTCACACAAAATTCCGTTTGAAGTTTTTGGGTGCCGGTCCCAGGATTTCGGCCATGGCCGCACCTGTACAGTGAACACCCTGCCGTCGGCAGTCACCTCTTCTATACACGGCTACACGTGCACAGTCAGCGGGGCCATCGCTGCTCGGCTTGTAAATTGTATCCGTTTCAGGCACATAAATTGTTGTCAACTTCCGTTGGCTGCGACAACGTCGCCGCCACTGACCACTTCTGTGTCCAGCGATTCACCTGCTCCACACCGCCGGTCTCCCGAACAGCCCCTTTTCCCGGAACTAGTTGCACCAGCAGGAGCAGCGTATGGCAAGCTTTGACTTGAGAGAGCATACGCTAGAGTCATGGTGTTTGTCTTTCTACCTTATTTTTGGGGTCACATCGGTTGGGGTATTGTGATTTTTGGTATAACAAATAAATCTAGTTATATATAGTGATAAACAAAATCAAGATAAGCGTTAATTTGATCAAAAAGTTTAAGATATAGTTGTATTCATAGTACTTCAACTTGGAAATGGTTTGGCTTCTTCTTATTGTTTATCAACTTCATTTAGTTCCAGAGATTCTTCTTTCTTAGCTAAAGATTTAAGAAAATATCCAATAAATCTTGATATAGATTGTATTTATCAGTAAATGGGTAATACTTATAAAAATATCAGATTGCGTAGTGTATTTATTAGATCGGTTTACTTTGCATAACTTCCAACCAGGTTGTTTTTGCAATGGTTCAGCTTGGGCCAACTTTTGCTGTCCATGTTGTTTTTTTTTGCCTTTGCGCTCGTTGGGTGTTATTTTTTTTTTACCTGCGCTCTTTGCTGCTACTCGATGCAGCTTCCAACTCCAACGTAATTGAATTTTTAATCTCGTTTATAGTCAAGTGATCTCTGGCATACACTACCGGTGTACAACTGCGCATATTTTACGTGCCCGGTGCTTTGGTGTTGGCCATTCGCCGCTCGCTGGCTGCTTTCTGCTAACTACCGCCTTGTCCTGTTCCTGTGACCATTCCAGCTCCAGCTTCAGGTCCTGTTTCTGCTCCTCCTCCTTCAACTGTTCCTACTCCTGCAGCACCTCCCTCTGAAAATACGGGGGTCAAATACACTGGGCAAATAAAGTTAAGAGCACGCCCCCCTGTCGGGAACATTGCCTCATAATGAGAGACCGTCGTTATGCTAAATAGTTGGGCCAAAAAATGGCAACTTTTTCGACCCACAACCACCTCAGCACCCGTCTCACTTGCGGGTTAATATGCACACCGAATTGCATATTCAACTTTTCGGGTAACGTAATAAAGTATATCTGAAACAATGCTCTGTCGTCTGCCTTCCAGGTGACACAAAAGGACCTTTAGCCAAATGCCAGGCATGTGAGTTATACAATGGCCCTGAAAAGAAAAACTCATGGAAAATGCTTTAATAGAGTTTGGGGGCTAAAAATCTTACTAACCAACGGAAACTTAAAGCTGGTCTTGGGAGAAGGGGTTTGCGGTGTAATCATGCCATGTCAAAGGCGAGTAACGTGTGCATCATTAACTGGCTTACGTGACGACTGCCTCGTTCAATTAAGCCTTAATTATAAGCACTCCCCAGAAAAGTCCTCGTTGCATATACTTTCTGCGGTGACACAGTTTTCTCCTCCTAATTATCGTGTCGCAGTTTTACGATTCGATTACGCATGGTGTAGGATTAGCAAGTGAAGATGAAGGAATTTTGATTTCCATTTCAATATATAGAAAATCAACATTAAGTTGGGATTTTTTCTATGTTAAATTTTCATCAACATCCCACTATTCCATATAAAATACATTCAATAGCTAAAATATTGAATTAGAATATTAAATTGAAATTGATATTTTGTAGGCATTCACCTAAAATACCTTTTTTAAACTTCAATTTATTTATTAATCCTAATTAGACATAATAGGAATTTTCATTCAAAATGCAGTTTTGGTTAAATGGGTACAATCTAATTAGATTTCTCGTCTCTAAAGCTACCAATAAATTAAGAAATAAAGAAAGTTTAAATAGTTTTATTTAATGATATCGAAATTTGCGAGTAAATCACACAATATTAGATAACAATCTCAATTTAATCAGGAATACAATTATATTAATAACTACAGATCTATAAATGTGATTGAATAGATGTGTTGTGCTCACCGCCTTCTGCGGACTTTTGGCATACAAAGTAATCGGAGTTCAGTATCAAAAACACAGGCTTGGGCTGTGTGACCAAGACAAATTTCTGGCAAAATAATTATGCAAGTAGCCATGGCAATGCATGGAGGTTCACTTGGACAATGGCAAACACGGTCTAAGCATTAATTAAATATTAACCAGAGGCAGATGTGGAGGTTGGAGCTACCACTGCCGAGTGCATCCTGGGTGGTGCACCTCCCACTACCCTCTCTTGTTCTGTCACTGTTATTGTTGCATTTGGATATTGTTTGATTTTCATTAAAACCACTCAACCGAGTTGCTTATCTTAATTATGAGATTTTGCCATAATATTTGCATTAGATGGGAGCCAATGCAACTGCTAAACAGCAACTGCAACTGCATAATGCGGCAATGCATCTCGGCAGCTGATGTGTAGCGTATCTTACTATTTCTATGCACTAAGAGAAATAATTAGCAGTTTAATTAAAAATATGTCTTGCTCATTAACAAATAATTAATTATATTATTTTTTTTTATTTATGAACTTAATTTGGTTATTAAAATAATATTCAAATAGCCTTCACTTAAGAATATCTTATGTTCATCTTATATATTTCATTATTAGAACACACTACAATTTTGATAAAAAAGATCAAATACTTTGTGTTTTATTCCTTAAGTTTGTCGAATTTTTTATGAAATTATATTTTTATAGTAGAATATTTCTTTAAGTGCACTTTAGTCCTTTGTTTTACTGTCTCGGTCAATGCAATGCAAATGT